GTTCCCCAGGGGATACATGGCTCAGCTAGCTTAAGAATTTACCTTCTCTGAGTCCTTTCCTTCTCTGATTCCTCATTTGTTGGTAGGCTGAGTTTGGCTTTTCTTTCTAATGCTTCTCTGGTTCTAATCTAACTAAGATCACCAATGGTGTTCTTAATTGAAAAATCCAGCTGGGCAGAGTGGTTCATGCCTATAATCCCAGGACAGTGGGAGGCCAAGAAGGAAGGATTGCTTGAGCCCAGGACTTTGAGACCAGCCTGGGCAACATGGTGAAACCCCGGCTCTTAAAAAGAAAGAAAGAAAAGAACCCAGGAAAGATTCTTAAATTCCTCACTTATTTTTGCTTTGTGTAAAACTAAATATTAAGACTGGGTGCAGTGGCTCATGCCTGCAATCCCAGCACTTTGGGAGGCCAAGGCAGGCCAATTGCTTAATCCCAGGAGTTCAAGACCAGCCTGGGAAACATGGCGAGACTCCATCTCTACATCTCTACAAAAACACATATATTAGCCAGGTGTGGTGGTACGTACCTATAATCCCAATTACTCAGGAGGCCGAGGCATGAGAATCACTTGAACCTGGGAGGCAGAGATTGCAGTGAGCCCAGATGGCACCACTGCACTGTAGCCTGGGTGATACAGCAAGACCCTGTCTCAAATAAATAAATACATAAATAAAATTAAAATTTAATATTAACGATTATAAGTACTCTGTCCTTCAAATTCCACCCTCCTGAACGTCCCTGGGATCCTTTTCTTCTACTCATTTTTCCACTATTGATGCTTACCAGATCCCATCCCTTGGTCTCCTCTGATACTGCTGGGCCTAGGCCCCTCTCCTTAGGTGAAAAATTCCACATTTGAGGATTTAGTTATTGTTTGTGCTGATTTCTGCAGTCCGTATCTTCAGGCCAGACCATATTTCTAAATTCCAGAACCATATATTTTACCGCATGCTTGATATTTCTCCCTAGATATTCCACAAATATACCTCAAATCCAATAAATTCAAAATTGAACTCATAAGTTCATTCTGATGCTCTTAAATGATAGTAATCTTAGACTCTTCCTCCTTTTCTTACTCGTCCCATATCCATATCGTCATACTTCCTATTATTTCTGTCCCTTAAGTTTTTCTCAAGACTGTCCTTTCTTCTCTGTCCCCTATACCTGCTGACTTAACTTGGGGCTTATAATTTAAGGCCTAGATTACTGTGAGAATCACCCCAGGGTTTCTTGTGTATTTGTGGCCCTTGCTGCAGTTTAACCTCCATGTTGTTATAAGAGTGAGCCACTTCCTTTCCTGCTTAATATAATGGCTTACTGTTGGGTTTCAGAAAGTCCACATTCCTTTGCTTGGCACATACGTTCCTATATAATTATTCCTTCTTACTTTCTCAACCTTATCTTCTACTTCTTTCTATAAACATTGTTCAATTTATCCATGAGTTTCTTGGATTTCCTTGAGCTGACATATTCTCTTGTGCCTTTGTATATTAAAAATGTAAGTTCTGGGCTGGGCGCGGTGGCTCATGCCTGTAATCCCGGCACTTTGGGAGGCCGAGGCGGGCGGATCACAAGGTCAGGAGATCGAGACCACGGTGAAACCCCGTCTCTACTAAAAATACAAAAAATTAGCCAGGCGCGGTGGCCAAAGACACGGATCTCTCACGCCAGTCCTGAGCACCCCACAGAAGTTGACCTGCCTGAAGCAGAATTGGTCTCTAATTTGCAACACAGAGAACGCATGGGCTGGTAGTAACACCCGCGGACACGAAAGGGCGTTCCCAGCACTGTAAGTTTTGTTTTTCTTTGAGGCGAGTCTCTCCTCTGCCCCCCCGCAGGCCGGAATGCATGGCCGCGATCTCGCTCACTGCAACTCTCGCTCCCAGGTCCGCCATTCCCTCCCTGCTAGGCTCTGAGCAGCTGGGACTCACAGGTGCCC